ACCCCATTATAATCCCCATAACCCACCTTACTAACCCTACTTACTAAGTCAAAAGGGCCTCCAAGTAAGACGCCCTTGGGGATCAATCGGCTCTTAGAACTGGTGTTCAATTTGAAAGCACTGTAGGATTAGAGGACCTACAAGTAGGTAGGTTGTCACGAGTACATGCAGGTTCGTCTAGACAAGGGCCCCTACTCGGTCAGGAGGCCACCATCCAGAGCAGGATTCTTGGGTTTAGGGTTTAGGGGTTTAGGGTTAAGGGTTTCTCTTCCAGCGATCCACATGGCGTTTGAATGCTGCGCCCTGTGCTCTGTTGAAAACCTTTCTTCATCGCTTACTACAGGGGCCTTAATATTTAAAATTTGGTTTGGGGGCCCATTCTACTATAATTGTAATAAGGAACCCCCAAACATAGTATAGGTAATTATTGAGGCGCCTACATTAGGGCTTTTACGCTAAGAAGTGAAAACACCTCGAGGTCCTAAGACTGAAAAAACATCCCAGGGCACAGGAAGACGAGTCACCTCAGCCCGGGATGGTCGGGTGCACCCTCGCGCCAACAGCGGAAGTGTAAAGCCTAGCATCAGGCTTGGGATGAAGGTAGGGTTTAAGGTGGGATGAAGGAGGTGGGTTTTCAGTTTCACGGTCAAAGGTACATGACTCAAAAGAAGGGCCATTTGACAAGCGATCTCTGAGCTAGCTAACTTCATCTCGCCCGTTTGAGGTCTTTGAAAGCACGAGCTCACGCCCTTGGGCACAAAACCCTGATCATGGCAACTATTGGGAATAGTATTGGTACCTATTTAAATAATTTAGGCCCCTATATTATAGAACCCTACTATAGATCCCTTGTAGAACCCTGTAAGGGTTGCCCCAAATCTTTGAAGGAATCCTATTCTAATTGAATGTGGGAACCTGATTAAGAAACCTTGGGCCTTTATTGGTAGTAGGCCCAGGGTTTCTTCATCAGGTTCCTACATGATTAAATGGTCCCCTATATTATAGAGCCGTGTTATAGATCCCTTGTAGAACCCTTTAAAGGATTACCCCAAATCTTTGAAGGAATCCTATTCTAATTATTAATCGCCCGTTATATTAGGCGTCCTCTCCGGAGAGCTTGACCCCTAAACCCGAATGTCTTCCTCGCATCCACGCAAGTAGGTCGATCTGTAAACTCTGGCGAGGGCCGGCCGCCCACAATGGTGAGCGTGCTTCGGCGAAGTTTGCCGTTGTTTGGTACCAAAACCCCTGGCCAATCACTAGTAACCATTATCGGACTTATCGTCATAGTCGCCCTTACAGAACCTGTTAACCTTCGTTTGGTGCTAAAAACCGTGTAATGCCAATTATACAAATTAGTCGCCATCAGGACCTGCTTAAAGGAACCTCTAAACAGGAGCTTCAATATAGGTAACTAGTTATTCAAGCCCCTATGTAGTTCGGACCCTCCTACCAGAGTTCTGTAAGCGTCTATATTGGGGTTTGGGCGACAACGAAGGCTATTAGAAGGGTTACCGTAAGGTCCCTCAGCCCTGAACCCGAGATCTTGAGGCAGACGCTGAAGGCATCATTTGGATGAAAGACCCACGAAGCAGCCTGTTGTAAGCATTGGGTTTAGGACTATTAGGGCATACGCACCCCAATGCCCCAAAGCAGGGCAAACAAAAACTCTCTCGAACCCAAAGTCAAACCCAAAAAACCCTAAAAATGCCTAACTTCCCCAAAAAGCCAGAAGCCCCAAAGCCTCAAAACCAGCTGAAGATTAACAAAACAAAGAATCAGACAACAGTTTTAAGCCAAAGAGATGCCTTCAGGGCCACCTTCGACTCGTCAGTCGTCACGACAACCTGTGCATAAGGTAAAAGCCAGAAAACTGGAATATGATTATCCTAAACCCTTTATGGTAAATTCTAGGGTATCCTACCATGAAACCATATTCCAACTTTCTGGAGTTCCCTGTAGGACTTGGGAGGCAGGGGTGTTTGAGGTTTCGGCGCTCAAACTCTGACCATCCAAGGATTTGGGGTTGAGGGTTTAGTAGGGGTTAAGGGATCTAGGTCTAGGGTTGAGGGCAAATGCCGTAGATGATCAAGGCTTCATACTAGGGTTTGAGGCGTAATCCTTCATTTCGGGGTGCGGCAATCAGGTTGGGCAGACTACCTGGCATAAGTGGCATAAGTTCAGACCGGCCTATTTGAGCCGCACCTGTGCTGCCAGGCGTGGGGAGTGGGGGGGCGTCGAATGTCGGGCCATGCATCTACCTCCTTATGACGGCTGTAGGGTTTAGGGCTTAGGGTATAGGGAATGGGGTGGTTTCGGGTGTCGGGCTCAGGGTTCAAGGATTTGGGATTCAGGCCTTGATGCTCGTGACGTGTAGTGTCCGAATACCTGAGGCTCCCTTTGTCGGGAAGACCTCCCCTGAACAGGAAGTGTACTTAAAGGATCATGGGACTTAGTAAGTGGGGTTATAAATACGGTAACTATACTTATAAGTACTTACGACCCCAACTAAGGCACTTATAACCCTACTTACTAAGTCCCATGATCCTCCAAGTAGCCCCTAAACCCTAAACCCTATAGTCCCTAGAGATCCCTACAAGGAACCCCGTGGATCCCTTTAAGGAGCCCTTTACGGGACCCTTATTCTAAGTTCTCAAGATCCCACCATGAGTCCTTCCCTGAGCCGGACCTTCAGAACAAGCGCCGAATAGCCGAAGGCAAGCCCAATGCGAGCCTTACACGCTAAGCCCGAGACACCACACCCTAAATCCTAAACCCCTGAACCATGTAACCTAAATCCTACATCCTGAACCTGAGCTGGTGCGGCAGGCTCGCATGCCGAGCGTGCTTCTTCCACTCCTGTATCTCCAGCTCCAGGACCTGAGCTGGGGTTTAGGGTTTAGGGCTTCAGTGTTTAGGATTTACGGGTTTAGGGGGTAGGAGTTTAGGGGTTCAGGGTTGAGGGTCCAAGTGTCAATCCAGAAGTCGGAATGACTACTCATAGAAGTCTCGTATAGATTTTAATGAAATAAAAGCCAGGATAATCGTATTCCCTTTGTAGATGATACTCCAATATAGGTATAAAGTAAAACACAAACCCTTACAGTAAAAGCCAGAAAGTTGGAATATGATTATCCTAAACCCTTTATGGTAAATTACAAGGTATCCTACCCTGAAACCATATTCCAACTTTCTGGAGTTCCCTTTACAGGGACCTTCGGAAAGAAGCGTAACCTGTCGGATGCCAGGCAGCAACTTGGAAGCGATCCGGGGGAGGATCCGAGTCTGAGGGAGCCTCGCATTTTACGGTTGATGATTTAAATCCTTCATTACACCTAATGAGGAATATACTATAATTCCATGTAGTTCCCATGGTCTAGAGTCATGAAGGTAGCGCAGATTTATATCATCAACCGTAGGAGTGTGGATCTGCTGTCAAGGAACTTGGGGTTCGGGCTTCTTTGCCTCCTGGGTTTAGGGGTTTAGGGTATTTTGGGGTTTAGGGCTTGGGGTTCTGGGATTTGTGACGGTATACCACATTTAAGGTTGATACAGCGTTTCAGGGTGTACTGTTTTTCGGTGCCCTTTTTAGAGTTTAGGGCAGTCAAAACTTTGAGGGTTGATCAGCAGGGTTTGACGTCAAGGAACTGAGGTTCAGGTTTAAAACACCTAGGGGCCTTCTAAAGTGGATATAGGGTGTTGAGAAACTTAAGCCCACACCATGATATGTCAAAAGGCGAGCTGGCTGAGAAGACTACAACGCCTGTTGGAAGTGGCCACGACCATACGTATGACTCAACGGTTTTAAAAGGGTGTTGGGGACAAGTCTTCGATGCTACTGGCACTGCGTAAATATCAGCACGCTTCTAAGGTGATTCATAATCGCCGAAAGGAGTTCAGTAAGTTCGGTGATTCGGGCTTTTAGGCTTGGGTCTTCTTTGCTGTCGCATCGCAAGCCCAAGCAGGCAGGGTTTAGGGCTTCAGGACCTCAAAGACCCATCAGTTGTAGTAGTGATTCGTCACGGTGGGACTCAAAGAAGCCCCTTGAGCCTTTCAAAGCCTTCGATACTCGAAATCATTAGGAAATGTGAAGCCTTACTTATATCTGCGTGTCCGCTTCAATTAACCTCAACACGGCAGTGAATGGCAGGGACATTCCTGTCAAACATTTACGTTCAGCTCCTATTTTGAGCGCCTGTCTGAAACATCCGAACCCCTGAGGGTTTATAGGGAACTCCAGAAAGTTGGAATATGGTTTCAGGGTAGGATACCTTATAATTTACCATAAAGGGTTTAGGATAACCATATTCCAACTTTCTGGCTTTTACCTTAGGGTTTAGGGTTTAGGAACCCCCTCCACCCTCAACCCTAAAACCGCGGGACCGCCCCTAAAACCTTAAAACCGCTGGACCGCCCCTAAACCCAAAAACCCCTAACCCTTAAACCCTCAAACCCTATCAACCCCCTAAACCCAAAAACCCCAAACCCTTAAACCCTTAACCCCTGAACCAACTTGAACCCCAAACCCTAAAAACCCTAAAAACCCTAAAAACCTTAAAACCTAAAACCTAAAAAAACCTCAAACCCCGAACAACCCTAGCCGGGCCTCCCACTGCCAGGGAATCCAGGGCTCCTTGCTAGCGCCCGCCAAAGGCTCGGGCCAAGAGTAGGTTTCCTTTGAAGGGCCGCACTTTTTGGTGTTTTTTCGGGTTTAGGGTTTAGGGTTTGCAGGTTAAACCTGGCTGCTCCGACGCACGTCTTGTGTCTACGCAGCTTTGTCATCAAGGCGTCCAAAAGAGGCGCACCAGGGTTGCTTCTACTCTGCTTTAGCCGAGCCATATCGAAGCCCTCGTCGTGCTGAAGCGTGCTGACACGTCTTCTTGAGCATCATTCCTACGCGACCGTGCGAGCCGCCTTGGGCGCTCGCATGGTAGCGGAGCCTACCAAAGGCTCTACGAAGATCCAGGGACCACAATCGAGCATTGGACGCGCGGCCTCCAATGACACAGAGCAGCCAAGAAGCGGCTGCACGGTCGCGTGACGGAGTACCTCAATGGGATGGCAACAGTGCGACTTTTGCCCGCTATGAGGAAGAAGCCCTCCTATGGCAGGAGGGGATCGCTTGGCACAAGCGCTACATGCTGGCGCCGAAGTTGCTGGCAGAACTCCAAGGAGCGGCACGCCGCATGGTGGTGGGGAAACCGCCAGGCTGGGTGTCGTACCAAGGAGGAGTGGAGGTGCTTATGAAGCATCTCCGAGAGTGCCTGGGAAAACCGCAGATGTCGGAATTGTCGGAGTACCTCAACATGTACTTCAGGAATTCGCGGCGGCGCAGCGGCGAATCCATGAATGAGTACGTGACCAGGAAGAGCGAGATCTATCTCAGAGCCCAGCAGGCCCTGGGAAGAGTCCGACCCCAGCACGAGGCCAAGAGCACACGTGGCGTGACAGAGCCCACGGCCCCTACTACGAGCCGCCGCTCCAGCTGGACCTCCGAAGCCACGTCCACCACTGCAGCTGAGGACATGAGGAGCCCGATGATGAGAACGCTGACCAAGGGGACGGCAACACTCATGCTTGGCAGACCGGGTGGAGTGGCGGATACGGGACCAGCTACTACGGATCGTGGTATGGCTATCAGGGAAGTCCCTGGTGGCAATCCGAGCACCCATGATGGTCATCGGGCCGGGGCTACGGAGATCGAGGCGGACGCTGGACCGGACAGACGCCCGCGATGGAACTTCTTCCAGAATGGGTACAAGGATGGTACCTGTTGCAGGATGCGAACCTGAACACGAGCGAGAAGAACATGATCCTCACCGCGCTCAAGGGGGACCTGAGCTTACAGAAGGTCGCCCAGGAACTCCGGAATCAATGGGCGGAGAGCGATCTACGCCGACGAGACCAGACGCATCGAGCTTCGGGGTTCTGATCCCTGTTCAAAGCAACTGACCTTCCGTTCGTTGGTATCTAACCTTCTGACCTTTTCGTTTTGGGAGCATTAAGGGGCTTTGAAAGCAGGATTTAAAGTGAGCATTGAAGACCATGAACAGTGAACAGTGGACAGCAACAGCAGCAAATGCAGGAGCAGCAGCAGCAGGAACAGATTGCAACTTGGAATGGGGGTGGGGCAGGGAAGGCTCATCAACGATGTCATGAATATATTGTTGCCAGAGGGAATATACACAACACTGTCCACCGTCCATTGTTCTACGTCTACCACCACTACTACTACTACTACTACTACTACTACTACTACTACTACTACTACTCCTCCTACTAATCCTACTACTGCTGTTACTACTGCTACCGCTACTACTACTACCACTACTACTACTACTACTACTACTACTACTACTACTACTACTACTACTACTACTACTACTACTACTCCTGTGCACAGGGAAGACCCCACCCAAGATGCAGCTATACTCAGTTGCAATCAAAACAATGGCGCTTTTTTTTGCTCTCAGTTCTGCTCTGCCAGCTTCTTCTTCACGGGGCGGAAGAGAACAACGTTGCCTGCGTGCAATCCACACAGCTTGCAAACCAGTAGTTGTGGTAGTAGTGGTAGTAGTGTAGTAGTCAGTGGCAAAACAGCATCCGGCCACAGTCCAGTAGTTCATTGGTGCCAAAGCCATCGAGAGCCCGACCTGGCTCGCAACATTGCATGGGAACACATTGTTGAAAGCATCACTCAGGCACAGACTGTGATGCATCATGCTGGTTCGTCCTTTTCTCTTCAGGTCCTGCAAGCACCAGGGCTGATCAACACAATTGAGAAAAACAGCACGAGTCCTTCTCATCTTTCGCCGGCTGAACACGGCGAATCCAACGTGGCGTTTGTGTGCTCACCGTTCGAGTTGAACATGCATCAACATCATCTGTAGCCTCCACGTCCACATGACAAAAAGGCGAGTCTTCTTCTGATTCTGGCGGCTCTCGCGATTCTGCTTCTTGCTCTTTGGCATTTTCAGCCTTGTTCTTCGTCCATTGTGCCCATCCCGACTTACCAGATCTGCCACTCCGATTGCTGGCGGGTTTTTTGGCAGTATTCTTCTTCTTTCTATTGACCTTCCGGCCCATTCTCCACAAACAGTGGACAATGGACAGTGGACAATGGACAGTGGACAATGGACTAGTGTTGTCGTTGTCCGTTCCGCAATGCTGCTGCCCAACAATATCAGTGGACAGTGAGTGGACACTGCACGTTGGATGAACTAGTGCTGTCCGTTCTGCAATGCTACTGCCCTGAATTTGCAGACTCTGCACAACATTGTTCATGATTATGAAGAACATGATGCTGATGCCACATTCTCTCTCTAAAGCTCGAGCACAGAACACTGCATGCTCCAGAAACTTGTCATATGTTCTGTCCAGAGGCCCCAAATGCAAACATTAACAGAAAAGCAACTGCTTTATGTAAAAGTAGAACATGTAGTAATGTAGTAATACTACAACATCAGTGTGCACACACATGACAGCCTGCATGCGCACACAGCACTGCGCGCGCACTGCACGCGCACTGCGCGCGCACAGCGTGAACATTGCGCGCGCACTGCGCGCGCACTGCGCGCACACTGCGCGCGCACTGCGCGCACACTGCGCGCGCACAGCGTGAACATTGCGCGCGCACTGCGCGCGCACTGCGCGCGCACAGCGCGTGCACTTTTTCACAGCAGCCTGTGCAGCATTCTGCGCGCATAGCGCGCGCACACACGATATATGCGCGCGCACTGCGCGCGCACTGCGCGCGCGACTGCTGCTGCTGGCAACAGTGGACAGTGGACAGAGTCTGAGCTCGTTGAGGTAGGACCCCAGCACCTGCAGGCCAACACTGTCACTCGCAGTGGTTCACAGAATCCCTCAGTTTCACCCTCCGCAAGCCCCGAATCCCTCCCCCACAATTAAAAAGGTCGCGAATTAACCGACCCCTCCATCGGTTAATTCGCCTTTCCCCACCTATTTGCCCTCACCCACACCCACTGTACTGTTCACTGTGCACTGTCCACTGTGGTATGATGGCGAAATAGCAGGCTTGCCCAGGTCATTTTTCTCAGACGCAAAGAGCATGTTGAAAACCCCGGCTCTTGCGGCAAGTTGCTGGTGCCAACTGTTAATTTCCTGCCGTCTGGCAAAACTGGAAACTTGCCAGTCTCATGGATGCTTTGTCACCGTCACTCGTCTCAGTGGACAGGTGACAGTGAACAATGGACAGTGTTGTAGTAGGGCAATTATACGGCGTGTGATCCATGGGTAGTAGGGCAATTACGGCGTGTGATCCATGGACATCGCACACAAGCGGTTCAACCGCTGCACGAGCAGTGATACTGCTCAGAAAAACATGAGTCCAGGCGGCAGCGCTCATAGCCATCAAGGTACTGCTCGAAATAGACCATCCCGCACCACACACATATTTCCGTCATCTGCATCAGTTTCACTGATATGCGAACTTCTCCCAGCTCTTCATCAAGCAGCACACTCAATTCCTTCGCCAAGTCTTCAGCAGAAGCGGTCTCAGTCTCGCCCTCGGCGGAAACGGACATGAGCTCCAGGTTCTCGAGCTCCCTTTGAACATCCTCGACCTCGGAGTCGCTCTCCGATGCCGGCGAGAGGATTTCAGTAGGGGCTTCGTCCATGGCGGCGACGACAGTCGACAATGGACAGTGGACGTCCATGGCAGTGTCGACAGTCGACAATGGACAGTGGACAGTGGACTCAGTTCTGGAGCCAAAATTTACAGCGACAGCCTCCGTGGCAGCCAACAACAAAGTTCATGTGCAGTTCTGGCAGTGCAGCTACTAATTACTACTATTGTCTGTGCTAACAAGCATCATCATGGCAATTCACAATACAAACAAGCAATCAATAGCAGGAGCAGCAGCAGCAGCACCAGCAGCCACCGCAAACCTTCGGCTCATGCCTCTAATTTGTCAGGAGCAGCTTCCAGTGAGCAAATCTCACAAGCAGCGCTTCCAGCTGCTGCACGGAATTTGGAAACTTTGCTTCCTCTGCCTCTTGCTAACAGGGGCCGAACTGGCAGGTGCACTTGGCCGCTTCCACTGTGCCCCAGCTGCCTTCTGCCTCTTGGCATCAGGATCGGAACTGGAAGTTGAACTTGGCCGCTTCCACACTGACTTCGTGCTGGTGTGCTTCTGCACAGGGACAGGCGACAGTGGGACAGTGGACTCTTGGAAGCATGGCATGAGCCTGTGCTGCTCGAACCAGTTGTGCACAATCCAATTTCCCAGCTTCCGGGGGTAGGACTGGCTCTCCTTCAGAAGCTTCCGATCGCCAGTCCTTCCTCCATGCTCATCTTCCTTGACCATGGATTTATGAATCCCGTCACGGCATGTGCAGTTCTGCTGCAAACTCTTCACCCATGTCTCACCAACAAACTTGTAGCGTTTCAGGAACCTCTCGCCTTCGGGAGCATCCACCTGGAAATGGCACCTGGCACAGGTGGCGGAACAATGGTGGAAAACGCTGAGGACCTTGGCGAGGGGCTTGTACCTGAACATGATGCTGCCCGCTGGCTGTTCAATGACAGGGTGGACCCCACGCAACATTGCGAGGGCATACAGAAAAGCTGCAATGCTGGCCATGCGATTGCCTTCCTTCACAGGCGGGTACGCAGTGTTACCTGCTGGGCGGTTGACAGTACGTTGGCATTTCACAGAGTTCATGAACACAAAGCTGCTGCAGACGGGCGCCATCCACAGCAGGCCACCTTCGTCGATCTGCAAGACCGCCTTCAACGCATTCTCAAAGCCACGTTTGGTCAAGATGTTCTCTGTGTCATCCGACGCGTCATCATCGGTCACTCCCTGGATCCGGTCCTTGTCCATGGCGAGCTGTCGATAGCCAGCCTTCTCGGCAGCCATTGCAACGGACGCCACGCCGCACCACAGCTCCACAACAGCCAGTGGACGAGCGACAGTGGACAGTGAAGACCGAAGAGCCATACCCAAAGTGATGCCGAACACTTGCATGTTGACCAAAGCGGTGGGGACTGCCATGGCAAGGCTTGCAGCACTAAATGCAGGCTGGAAGAACCCCAAGACTGCGAAACTCATGAGGTTGGCTGAAGACAAAAGCACTTGATAGCTGGCTAACACTTTCACTCACAGGCACCTGAGAAAGAGATCATTTTAGCGCAGCTTGACACACCCCTCAAGCCTGCAGCCGCACTGGCAATGATCATGAGCACTGCCAGGACTGACTGCAATAACCCGGACAGTGCACAGTGGACAGCTGACAGTGACACCAACGGCAGGCATCACTCATCACGCTGCACAAGGCACGCAAACCCCATAAAAATGATAAACACTCAGTCCATGATGCTTTTGCAAAAAGACTGTGAAGCTTGAGTGAAACGCTCCATGGCTGAGCCCTCGACGTCACCCATGGCCTTCTGCATGTGTCGCCAGTAGGACTCCTGGGACAAAGTCACCTTCTTCTTGCCTTTCTTTGTGCCCTGCTCGGAAAGAGCCTTCCGGATGCGATGGTAGTCCGCTTTCATCTCGTTGTAGATCTCGAGCTTCGCTACGCTAATCGGGGGACGACGTCCTGCGAACGTGTCTTTGCTGCCTCTTGGTGCCCTCTTCTGGGAGTCAGGGCCACGCTTCTTCTCAGGAGCTGTGTGTGCACCTTTAGGCTTCATAGCGTTGCGAATGTTCAGCGCATGCGAAGTCGTCGGTTTTGGCGACTCCTGTGTGTGGCCAGGCGGGCTGCTGCCACCTGACTCAGAAAACTCTGCCGGCTGGCTGCTCCCTCCGCCAGTGCCCACTGG